ACGTGTGGGTGGTTGATACTCTTGTATCCGGAAATGATTGAAACCCTCAGGCGTTCGTTGATCCTGACCTGATGTTCTGTGAACGCACCGACATTGGAATATCATTTACGATCTACGTCATTATCGCCAAACGGCCTGTCGAATCTGCTCGGCTTTTATACTATCTTATATCGTACTTTACGAGCAAAGGTAGATTGTATACAATCGAGTATTCCCGTTGCCCAGATCGCGACGATCATCAAGTAGATAAGTTGATCTCGTGGCTCGCGACAAACTTGATCTGCTGGAAATCGATTAAAGCTCGCGACTCGCATACTTTTTTACTATTTTTTTTTCCAAATAATTACTCTGCATCTGGAACTGATCTTATATCATGTGAGGAGGTTGTAGAAAGGATACCCAAGTGGGGTATAAAGCCGGTCCATCTACGGCATCCTGAGTTCTTTTGCAACTTGTCTATACCGCGTCGTCATCTACAGGGATTACTTATCGGCAAAGACTGCAGCTAGACCGACAGTGAAAGAGAAACAGAGATGGAATAAGAGAAAAAACAACGCGAAAAGAAAAAAACGGTGATGATGGTGGGGTGAAAGCAAAGCGACCAGGAGGAGTCTCTTCAAGTCAGTTCTCCAAGACTAGAGGGCATCGCCCCGGCCGTGACCTAGCCACCGCTTCTCTCGTACTCGGAGCAAATACGCCTCGTGCGCACGCTCAGCGCATCCACGCGTTCATCTGTCTCCTTCACTCTTTCACTGCAGCATATTGGTACACGCATATGCATCCATTTGTCTCCTTCTCCTTCTCCTCTGCTGTTGCAGACACAAACAATAATCCACGCCGTGAGTATTCGCGTGGAAATATACATAAACGTTTATGTATTTACGCCATGCAGCTTCTGAGCCACGACTTCGTGGCTACCATGAGATCAACTGATGTAGCTTTACATCTAGACTGTATTTTTAATTTTTTATTATTTTGAAAAAAAATAAGGTCATGAAATATTTTTTTAAGACACCAAATAGAATGTGTTGACCTACGAAGGTCAAAAAAGTTATGAAGAGAAAGAAAGAGAAGAAAAATTCATCAAAATTTTTGCATATTTATGAAAGGGTATACCCATCATTATCATCGTCATCTTCTTTAGACATCTTTATTTCATCTCACGATTTAAAAAAGGAAGAAAGAAAAAATTAATTTATTTTTGCATTTGAGTAGAGAATCGTACGAAGTACCGTACATGTCTGAAGATAATAAAGATGAAACCGAAATAAAATGATGGCTTTATGCATCATAAAGTTTTGAGTTGAAGAAAAAAGTAGATGTGGAAGTTGTAAGGTATAGAAATCAAGCTGAAACTGACAGCCGTATACCAGTAGCTGAATCAACACGAGTCTTTTAATAAAGAAGTCGGGAATGCAAATAGCTTGTAAGAATAATAATAAAAAAAAGTCATTCGTACAAATGATTATATTATTAAAATAAAAAATATTCTTTATTATTATGTATATAAAAGTAAATGTCTGTGATAGTGAAAATTTTTTATTTAATCTTGAAGCTAACATGGCACGTTTATTATCTGTTTCGAATTCACGTCGTATGTACGGGAGATTTTACGAGTCCCTGCGGCTTTCACGAGGGAGGTCGAATCGCGACGGGGTCGAAGGAGAAGAGAATAAAAGATAAAAAGTCCTGCTGCACCTCAGGCATGATCTTCGATTCTTCATGGCAGAAAAAAATGATGGTACGAGATAAGAGTCTGAAGTACTTACATTGAAGCTTCAATTGGGAGGCGAATTTTCGGCCGTTAAATGTAATAAAAAACTCAAACTTTCAAATTATTACTTAAAATTTTGATGAGTTCAATTGAATTTTTTTTCATGCTTTACAATGTTATACAAACCGTATCATCAAACAAACTATCAAAAAAGAAAAAAATTATTAGACTTGAAAAAATATTATGTACTTGTTACATGAAATTTACTCATAAAATTACAGTACTAACTTTTGGAGGGATTATTTTATCATCAAAGAGATGTTTCAATAAATTGTAGCAACTGTTGGTGTGTTTGAAGAAGAAGAAGAAGAAGAAGAGGAAGAAGAAAGAGTAGATGAGGTGTGGATTTCAATAGACTAGGTGAAACAATTATAACAGAGGGTAAATGGTAGGAAAAGAAAAACGTTTAGATGACGAGACAAACGAGTGTGAGCACGCGATAAATCGTCCTACCGTTAAAGAAACTACTTCTCGTATAAGCTACTGTGACTGTGGATCGACGATTTACTGTTACAACGTGGATGACTTTCTCAGTAAATAATGAAGCAAAGAAATATTGTTTCCAATTAAATAGCATACAAACAATTTATACATTTTATTCCCCTCAGGTATGAGAATGAATACTCGTAAGGGTCTGTGATGGCTTGGATTTAGCAAGAATCGATTACCGACAAATCTCAAAGAATTATATACTCAAGCTTCAGATGTTCGAGAAAGGATGTAATCATCATCTTAACTCGAAAGATCCAACGAAGAAGAAGAATAAGAAACATACGGAAGATGACGCTTGATATCTTAGCTTGCAATGGCCAAGGTCTTTTCATCAGAGAAATTATTCAATTGTTGGATATATCAACAGCTATGATTCGCCACATCAGTCGTACATTGTAAAGTCTAATAATGAGCAAACAAGCCAACTTGCATGATATCTAACGTAGTTTACACTTGGATGGATGTACAGTTGCAATGACCCGCTAAAAGCTGTGAAAAACCGCAACTAGATCTCATTCGACTTGAATGGCAAAGTGACGACTCGTTAATGGATAAGAAGAAAATAGGGAAATGTTTGAGGGAAAAGCAGCAATGATTTCTACTGGGTTATCCTCAGTATATTTGTGTATATATTGATTGTATATGTATACATCAATGACTAACAGTTGACGCACCCAGTGAAGTTTATTTTACGACAGTACATTAAAATGACGATTCATAAAACATCCTAACATGTTTCTTTCTATCTTTCTTATTTTTCAGTCAATATTTACGAGGCACTTTAACTAAATAAAAAGGATTAAAAGGTGTACATTCTGCTTGAATTTTTATCAAGTCAACAGATAGAGCGTGTCTTATTTTCTAGAGAACACTGCATGAACAACAGTCGAGAGATGATATTCCAATAACAAGACTGGGTTTTGAAAAAATTTTTATTATTTCACGAATGACTAGAGCTGTATAAATCAAGTGGTTATCGTCTGTATATTATATGGAAAGAGGCGTAAAATGATGACAAGAGACCTAGAATTCTTGAGAGCAGAAAATATAAGCAGTGATCTGCAAAATTTACTCATCGCACCATTTGTCTGTCTTTCACTTGAACCAGAAGCTTATATCATGATCTCTCACTTTGACGTGTACTGACTTTTACGGTCAACTAACGCACCGATTCGACAGCTTTCATGGTTGACTTGTTTGGCAAATTGAGCCCACGTTACGGCCGAATGCTAGACCACTAGCTCGTGTGTTGTTGATGTAGTTTCTTCCATCAAAGTATGCCCAAATAGAGCGAGTTATAACCTACACCAGTCACTAGTAGAGTTATTGTTAAGCCTTAAATAAATGATATAGTTGATGGATCAACAGTAGATTGTGAGCTAATGGTCGTCAGGCTCTATTATGTTCACGATTGGTACAACGTATAGTCGCACCCAGTTTTTCAAAGGGGACGGAAGTAATGTTCCGGCCGAACGACCTGGCCAGAATATCATGAAATCAACAATAATCATAGCAATTAAACCTACCACTGAGAAATTCAGGCAATATTTATCCAACATTTGTAATCTCCCTCTGATTCTCTCCTGAAATAATAGAAGTGCCTCTGTATCTTAAATCGAAATTCTTCTTGATTCCGGTATTATTACACAATCATTTATAATTTTCATTCGTCACGATTTCAAGTTGGTTCAATGATTACCCAAAAATTACACGATCTTGTCACGCTCAAACTGTTTCCTTATCTTATCCAACATAGATTGACACCTCAGACAGCTAGACTATTTTTTTTTTGTTTTTTTTCAATTAATTATAACCTATTGAGACATCTTCAAGAGTTATTATCGCATTGTTGTTAAATTTATACATTTTAAGTCAACTCAGCTATTTGGTAGAGTGCAGTCTAATAAATACTATGCTAAAACAAGAGATGATATTTTTCGATGTCCAGACTCTATCAAGTTTCAAGTACCGGTCCTGGAACAAAAAACACCTCACTCTTACATTCTACTGTGTCTTTCCTTGTCTCTCTTCAACGAGATTCACTAATTAATACATAAGGACGTCCAAATGGAACGATTTATGCGCTTGCGTGATGTCTATTTTTTCAGCCAAGTACTGAAACGATAGAACGCTTGTTTTCAAGCACTTACGAGCCACAAGATAAGATGAATACGTATTCCCGGCTGTGCAATACATTGTATGCTGATAAGAAACTCATGAAATACTCTTAGAGAATCAGTCGCATCTCCAGTTTTAGAGATAATCTTGCTGCAGCAGCATGAGTAAAATAAACTAAAAAGAAAGAATAGAAAAAGTTAATTCTTTGTATGATAACTAAAACGATATAACGACCTATACGATTAGCTGTGTGAAATCTTTCTAGTGTGTTTAGAGAGTGGTAAAATAAAACTTGAAGTTGTGCATGGTAAAATGTCAAACTGCAGCCTTGAAGGATCTTTTCTCTTAACACGAAAGTAACACACTATGGGGAAAATATCATTCCACTGATTATATTTATAAATTTGAAATTAATTAGAATCATTTAAGAAAATTTTTATTTCATTTGTATCTGTACAAATGTGTAGAAATAAAATGATAGTAACGTTGAGATTTCATCTGTTTTTCTAGAACATTCATTTTTTTTTGTTGTTGTAATTCTAAACGTTAATTTTTTCCCCTCTTGATAAAAGTAAAAAGAATATGTTCTTATTAAGACTTCCTGTTTACCTTGCAGAAGCAAAGTGTAGGATGGACTCGTCAGTACAGGGAATCTTGTTACAGTGAAGAGGAGGATCTTCCGTGAAGGAAGGAGGAACGAGGAGGATGCCGTCCTCGCAAACAGCCGCCACTGAGCGGCGAAACGACAGGATGATGGTAAATTAAAAAATATATATGTACATTATGTTATATACATTTCTTTATATGTATATCTATCTCGTTATCTCAACATTAATTTTAATTTAAAAACATTATTCATCTTGATTTAATGTCTGCAGATTGCCCATGAACCACCAAAGCTCAAAACAACTCTTAAAACATCACCGAAGCAGGCTACGAATCCCCTGCAATTTGTTAAAGTTGGTCCATGTTCGTTGTATCGTACCGCCCAAGAACAGCTGCAAAAGGTACAGGAAGTGAAAAAAATAAAACAAGAGGTTCGAGATGATCCGGAAGACTGGCAATCAGTAAGTAATTTATCAAACAAATACCAATCGTTAGATAAATTGTTCTCAAATTATTGAAGCCTTTGTAATAGCTATGATTTAAATGATTATCAAATTTTTTCTAATTCAACTATTTTCAAAGTACCATCTGTTATTAGAACTTTTACTGTTGATTAGGCATCAATACCTTTGACTTTAACATCTGATCTCGAGAGAAAATTTCGAAAAGTAGTGATGTTCAATCAGTTAATATATTATTTACGTTTGATGTTTAAGAAAGATTCTAAAGTTTACTTAATTGATTTCTACTAATAATAATAATTATATTCTCAATTTCTAGAACTTGGATAATTGGAAAAGTAGTCGGAGGAAGCGGCAGGAGCACATAATCGAGCGGGTGGTTGAAGTTAAGAAACTTGAATTAGAAGAACACGACAGACAAAGACGTCGAAGTAAAACTTTCTCGGAGATGATGGAAGAGCGCAGTAATAGAGGTAGAAAATTAAGCATAAGTCTAGCAATGTATCACGAAGAAGATTCAAATGACTTGAGTGATCTTGGCATTGGAACAAGCAGTGGAAAGAGCTCCGTCAGTGGCGACACCCACGAAGATACACAGAGTGTTCTTGTAAGTTTATTTAGCATATTTAAATTAGCTTCGGTTCCTTTACAATCATGAATACTAATTATATTGGCAATTTACTTTTCCAGAGCGATCGGGACAGCGAGATCGACAAGAATAATTCAGACTCGGACAATACCACGAATGAAAATGCTAACGGCAATAATAATATGAATCACAATAACAACAGTAAAAATAACATTATTAATAATGATAACAATAACTTATCTACCGCAAACAAGTCCAATGTCACGTCAATAGAGTCAATAAGTAAAAAATCTACATTTGATAATGAGTTTCACAACGATAGAGATCAAAGGGAATACGACTCTGGTACTACAGCCACTGTCAGCTCACCAGAACCTGAAGAGTACACTTACGACGGAACTATTCATGGCTATGTTACCAACAGGGTCGCGCAAAACATTCCCAGGCGTTCACTAATCAACTACGACATTAAACACGACAACGTAAAATTGAATCTCTTCGAGGAAAAGACTTTCGATGAGAAAAACGTTCCCGTAGTCAAGGTGGACGTACTTAAGCGACGAGAAATCTTCGAGAAAGCATCGCAAAAGAGTATAGATAATAAAGTCAACAATAATATTAGCAATCGTTCTTCTGGTGATTTTTCATCTTCAAAATCAATTAAAGAAAGACTTTCAAATCTCGAGAGACAGAAACAGGAGATCAATGAAGAAGAAAAATGTAATAAAACTATGAATAGATTGTCCGGTGATATGAGCTCTATTCGTGAACGTCTGTCTCATTTAGAAAAACAAGCTGCTGAACGTGAAAGCAAAACATGTAAATCAATTATTGATGAAGTTGAAGCGTTTATTCCTCTTCGTGATAGATTATCAATTCTCGATAAATATACTAATATCGATGATTCACCTATTGCAAGAACAACAATAAATTTACGACAGAATGAAGAATTTTCAGCTAAAATGAAAGATCGTTTGTGTATGTTGGATAATTCTAGATCCAAAGATGATGAAAAGAAGCCGGTGAATAAACAGATGTTAGGATTTAATAATCAAGATGCAAGAAATGAAATGTCAACACCAAGTGAGAGAAGTTCATCTCCAGACTCCGAGTATCGTGCACCATGTGCTGCTTTCCATAGAAGTCTTGATTCTCTCGATGCTGATGCATCCAGTGAGCCTGATACTTTCGAACGAGTTCAGAGTCTCGAAGAGCTTGATTATGTACGGAGGAGGTATCCAACATCTGTATCATCAGCTGAAATTCTTAATGATACAGATCGCGAAGATTCTGGTATTCACACTGCTGATGTTAGCTGTTCAGTCAGTCAAGCTGACGAACCAGTTGATGAAGAAATTGTGCAGCATCCCGGAACAATTGTTCAAGTCCAAGAAATCATTGTGGAGGCTCAGGAGCAACAGATCTCTGCTCAATCTAGCGTGGAAGAATTAAGAAAGACGGAAATATCTGAAGAGAAAAGACAGGAGAAAGTTGATATTCAACCGGAGGCAGTAGCAGTGATAATTAAGGTAAGTTTGTAAACGTAAAGCTTAAGCATAAGCTTTGTGGTTGAGGGTAATACTATGTAAAAATTCACACATTTTCTGGAGTAATTGAGTACTGAAGTTATTATTTCTTAATTCCTTTTCATAATTCATTTTTGTCTGGTTGCGGGACTAACTTTTTTCTTGCACATCTTTCATTCTTTAGGATACTGCCGAAGCTACTGGGAAATTATCGACTAACAAACCTCAAATCCAAGCAACATTGAATGTCAATGAAAATAAACTAAGCCGTGTTGTTGTTTATCAAAGTCCGCGAGTTCCTCCGCGCAGAAATCCTCCAGAAATAAAATCAGATTCCTCGAATAACTCGATCGACTCTCAAACATTGCCAGCCAGAGATTCTGAATCCAAAATATGCGAATTAATTAATTCTTCGAAAACCATGGATACGAAAACGACTACAGAATCTAGCTCTATATCGATTAAACCATCTAAAATTCCTACTCCACTTCCTCGTAAACAAACTAACACTAATTCTTCTCCTCCGTTGTCACCAGTAAAAAGTTCACTAAAATCTCCATTAACGTCTCCTTCGAAATCTCCATCAAAAATCCCCTCACCCTTAAAAACCCAAGACGAATCACTAACTTCATCACCATCTCAGGGAGAAACAAGTCCAGAGAAGATTGCTGAACGAAGACACACAGTTGTAGAAGTCTGCGAGAAAATTATTGTGCCTCAAGGAGAGACACTTATACCACCAGTCACACCCTTTATTATGGTTACAAAGATTGGCGACGAACAACAGCAGTCGTGTGATAGCGAGGTCAGGATCAATAATCCACAAGGCACTATAACTTGTCAAAAATACTGAACAAGATGTTCTTATTCATCAGCATATGCGCGTGCCAGACTCTGTATATATTAAACATTGTAGATGAGAGAGTAAAGCGTATTAAATGACCTTATGGCCTTTAAAAAATTGTATTTATACATGAGCTTTTTAAAAAAAAAATTTCAAGGTTAGCTTGTCATGTGGATACTGTAATACTGCGGCAATTAATTGCTTTGCGACCTGCAATGTAAATAGAAGAATAAGAGCATAATTATGTGTAGAAGATGGTTACCAAGAATCACGTAGTGCTAGATCCTTTCATTAGTTACCTTGTGCGTGCATAAGCTCCAAAGATGCGGTACCATGAAATACGACATCAGTATAATATTATTATTATTATTATTATTATTATTATTATTATTATTATTATTATTTATAATCATTAATCACTAATATAATTCTCATAACAATTGAATAATCATTTATTGTGATAATATTCAAATATAATACTTTTTTGTCAAAATTTACCATTATTACGATGTAGTATTTATTTATTATATTTTAGCAGTAATTTGGATTAATACTTAATGTTAATACGATTTCATTGTAACATCATTATCATCAATAATTTATTCATCAACTGTAGGCACAACACAATTCATAATGACAAATATACAAGTAAATGGCTAATTAATCAACTTGTTTCTCTTATCAATCAATTATAACCCCAACTGTAAAAATTGTATTTAATTTATGACTGATTCTCGATAATTATTTCAATATCGACGAATTTAAAAAACACGATAAAAGTATTTTAAGTTTTTATTATCAAAAAAAAAATTTATCTTTATGACGATAATACCCTTTGGTCGGATCATAAAGTGAAACTTTGCACTTGAAAAATGATATATTAATTAACATCTATGATAATTTCTAATCACTATCCTACTAATAAAGTCCATAAAAGGTCATTGAGGACATATGTTTCAAAACAACAAAAATATTATTGTTGATTTTAATATAACCAAAAGAATTAAAACTTAACTTTCTTGAGGAAATCAAGATATAATACTATTTCTATTTTGATAAATTATATCTCTTTGTAAAACTGAAATAAAAATTAATTTACTTTCACATAAAAACATGTTAACTTTTATAAAACAAATTTATTTGAGAGTGTTTGACATTTAACTATTTAAAATCAAATAAAATTTATTATAGTTAATAAAGATTTTTTAATTCATCGTAATTTTATTTACAGCATTAGTAATCAAAAATCTATTGATACTAAATGCTTCAAACCAGGTTGAAACTTTTGATAAATTACAGCGTATTTATCATTCAATTATTTTTTTCTTTCTTACTTTCAAAAGAAATATTTTCAAACATTCTTTTCAAAAGTCTTTAACTCTAACTATTACTTCAGAGTACAATCTAGAAGCTTACACAGATATTGTTTTATCATTCTTCTGTGTCATTGCTATATAAATATCCAAGTAATCTGCTTTACTTAATCATACTTCCCACAAAAAAAAATAGAAAGACTTCATCTCAAAGAATAGACATATGACAATAAGATAAAGACTTACAGAGGTCGAGAATCAGTTATTTAATTACTTGATATCACAAATGTCAGCGACAAGTTTCATCATCAGACGGTTGATTAATGCAATGGAGAAAAGAATGAAAACGATTATGAAGTGAAGTAATAATGATAGAACTTATTTTTAAGGTAAGAGATTTTTATAGAGTACATTCCCCAGAGATTCCCTTTGAGCCCACCTGCCGTCACACTAAGTTAATAAAACAAAAAAATACACTGACATAATAATTGATGAGTCCTGAGTGTTGTAAAAAATTATTAATGATACAAGCATATGAAAACAAATATTTTTATCATTTAAAATGTATTATGTTGTCATTTCTAAGTAGATTTCGGCACGTGACATCATAGGGTTGCCTCAAACGATTTTTTTACACGTTACTTGCATGTGTCGGTGTTGAATATTTGTTTAGTTTATCTTTTTATTTGTCTACTTTTAAATCACCGTGTATGTTAAATTCGTGCCATGTACTTTAGTTTTATTGTGTTGCGTCACACTACATTACTCATGTTTTTATCTCTTCAACATCTTCATGTTTTATTAATTATTTTGCTTTTATTTCCCACTCTAATAACAGCATAAAATTGTTCAATAGCTTCGGTATGCAAGAATCAATAGATAAAATAAAATATTAGATGCTAATATTACTAAAGAATTCGGTAAAATTTGCGTGATATTCTTGAGTGAAGAGCTTTCTTATTTTCTGTATGTTGCAGTAGATTTGCATAGAATGTAGCGTTGCGAAATTCGTAGCAATTCATAAGAATGGCAATATTATACATCTCTGTTCACCTCCACCTTTTTAGGAATCGATTGTTATCGGCAGCAACAATAACAACAGCACCACAGACGAGGAAACTGAGCTATGTTGCGAGTCACCTAAGTCAGTCGAGCACGAAGAAGAGACCCAGACTAGTGAATCAACGACTGACGACCAGAACGCAGGCTTACCTGTTGCTTGCTCCAAGGCAAACCAGCAAGAAGACACCGACCAAGATTCTGAGTCTGTTTCATCGCTTATGGACTCGCTGTCATTATCGCATGAAAAGGAATCTAACCACAGTGATCATTACAACAAACTGAGCGTTTTTCAATCAAATATGGAGTTTATTGATACACCTGTACCTCTATCAAAATCGGTAAGTTTTTTTCAAATATAATTAATGGTGATCCATCATTTACGTTAAAAATTGTCGTTAATTATGAAAAGAAGATTGATTGGTAATTAAATGTTAATTAATTTAGATTCCACCATTAAATTTGACAAGTAATGAGGAAATAATCGCTGGATTAGTATTTCCTTTGGGTCCACCAACTAGTGTAGAACCACCTAAAGAGAAACCTCCACCACCTCCTACTGATTTTAGTGATGAAGAAAATCAACCAATTGAACCATTAAAGAGATTAAATTCTACTCGTAGAATAAAAAAAGAATTGCGTACAAGGCGATCTGATTTCTTGGGAATTGAAGGAGTAAATATTTTTTTTCAATAGTTAATTACAGTGTGTGAAAGTCGATTTAGTAACAATAAAAAATAAAAAAAAATCTTTTCTAGATAAATGACGATGATCTCGAGTTAAGTCTAGCGAAACCACCAGACATGGCAGCAATTTTGGCTGAAGAGAGAAGAATTGAGCAGTTACACCGTCGATCTTATGACACAGACAGCAATTACGAGCAAGATTCAAGCCATGAGAGGGATTCAGGTGTAGAGCTTGGTCAAGCAGAGGATTGGGTGAAGCAACCAGTTAGTCCCGATATGTCCCAACACAGTCGTCAAAGTAGCGAACCATTTGGAGCAAGCGTTACCTCTTCCGAGGAAGATGAGATCACGAAGAAAGAGCGGGAGATTATTGAAGTTCTTGAGAAGGAAGAGCAGTGGCGTTACGGCAACGACCGCGAACAGAACAGGTAGAAAAATCTTCCATCGTAGATGTTAAAATTTTAAAAATTTTATTCTACAATAAATATCTTGTAAAAATGTTCTTATTTCTGATTCTATAATTCTCTATATCACAAGACACACATAAAAATTTTCGCGTATCTCTTGCAGTATTGGTTTGGGTGCTCTGACTTTAACCTGTAGTCAAGAAGACTCTTCTCTCAAATTGTAGAACTTTGGAATTTAGAATAAAATTGTTTCATTGGGATAAAAAAAATTTAAGTCTTTTCTACAATTTTTGTATAACTTTAGTGCCTTTTTTGCTCCTTTTATCACACAACTGCTACATTTTTGGCAATAAAATAGCATGTAATTTAGTGAAACGTCGAACGAAATGTGTGAAACTATTTTGGAATACAGCGATATTGGTGAAAAACTCGCGCACAAGCTACGAGAACTCGAGGAGGAAAAGATGCAGTTGGAGCGTGAACGTGCACAGGAAGCCGAGTTGCAACGACAAGAGGAAACCCTACGGAAAAATGATGAAGATTCACGCAAACAGGAGGAACAACTACTGCGGAAGCAACAAGAGTCAACGATGCAACAAGAAATGGTGCACGTTGAGGAGATGGAACTCAGGGAAAAGGAACTAAGACTTGATGTGGAACGGTTTACGTTACATGATAAAATGATTGAGAATGAAAGTAGGTCCATGGATATTAGACACCAAGAAGACTTACATTTCAGACCCTCAGAAAGTCAGATGAGTGAGCAACAAGTATGTAATAATATAAATTCAGTATATATTCATGCGTTCACTCATACTATTATTATTTTAATACTATTATTAATTTACAGAAAACCTTACCTTCCGTTGTGCACAACCGTGAGGATGATTATTCATCAAGGGTAAGTCGAATAACTATCTTTATAATTGAATTGAACCATCTTGATAACTAATTATCACTTTAACAAAGCCATTTACTGAATCTGCTGAAGAAAATAAAAATTAACAGCAATAGAAAAATAAATCTTTGTCGGCTCCCATTACTGAAATAAATGTTTAATATTAACGTCAAGCTTTTATATCAACCTGCTATTAAATGCTACCTGATGAGATTATTATTTTTAATGATAATTATTATTCACAGGATGTTTTGCGTGTAGAACGAGAGCTTTTACAGTTGGAACAAGAAGAGTTGCAGCGTCAAAGGAACAATATGTTGTATCTTGAACAAAAGCAACAACAACTTGGTGGCCAATTACAGGAACAATGGCAATCACTCCAAGATGTAAATCATGACCCCAATATGGCTCATGCTGCTTATCGGAATATCAATATAAAAAATTATCGATCATCAATGCCAAATCTTCAGCTTCAAGATAATCATCGTCGAAGACCAGCACCCCCGCCTATACCACCAGCGAAGCCTCTGCGACTGCTAGATCAAAGACAGCGGGACATCACTATCAGGTAATTATAGAATACATCATTTTTCCCAGGAAACAATCGAACTTTATTTCCTATCTATTTAGTGTAAATGTTCTCCTCCACCGGAGTGCATCGGGAAGTACCCACTATATATTCGCGATTAATTTCCGGCCGTTCTATTCTGTTTTCAAATGACTTGCATAACTAGACGATGACACACGTCTCAGTTAAATTTTCTCCTGGAATAAACTTCTCTAACGATCGTTACTTTTCAAATGCGCAGAAACAGCCGGATTCCATCAGCAGATTCAATTCCACAGCAGGTGGATGCAACGCTCCGTCACAGTGCCTCAGCTTCAACTCTGATGAGTCATGCTGGTCAGCAGATGACAAAGCAAACTCTTCATGCATTGAGTGCTGTACCACGTACGCGAATCGTTAAAGGTGACCAGTGGGTTCAGCGTAGAAAAAGTGACGGACCTCGCATTGCATCCCAGGATTTTAATTATCAACATTGGCTCATACAAGTGAGTGATTATTGTATACTTTTTGCTAAATATTTATCGTTCATTATTTATTACACATGTAATTATGGTAAATGTGGCTAATATTACTATATTCATAAATTATTCTCGTCAGGAAGCAGAACAGAGGAGAATTAATGAGAAAAATCAACGATCACCTGTAAGAAAACCACAGCAACACGTGACTGGAACTTCTGTACCTTATACTGGGAATTCAACAAAATCAGAAGGAAAACCGTTACCAGATTCAATTATTCAAACACTTACGCAAAGGATACAAAATAGAGCACAGGAAAGACAGCCTATTATCCGGCGAAGGTATTTTTTATAATTTATTTTATTTATTATTAATTTATCAAACTTCAGCTTAGCCAGTTTTTTTTTAAGAGTAATTTTTTTTCAGAATTGAACAAAGTGTCAGTCAAGAACATTTGCCTTTGGGACATCATTTACCATCACAGCACCTTAATATGATGCATCAGAAAGTACATCAATCACCAGTAGCGTCTAGTGCAGCGGACTCCCAAGAAAAAATGCTCAGTGTTAGTGGAAAAAAAAAATGTTCACACTGCGGTGATGAATTAGGTGGGTTATATAATGGAATAATTCATGTTATTATGGCAATATGTTTTTTTTTATGTGTATTTTATAATTCTAAAATAAAAAATGAATCTGTTTCTTTTACAGGACGAGGTGCAGCTATGATTATAGAAAGTCTTCGTCTTTTTTATCATATGGAATGTTTCAAATGTTGTGTTTGTCATGTACGTCTTGGAGATGGACTTATGGGAACGGATGTTCGTGTTCGTAATCACAAACTCCACTGCCATAATTGTTATTCAAGCGATGATGGTACGGACAATTTTTAATAATTCATCTACAATGTATACAAGTAACAATAACCATAAACTGACGATAACATTTGCAGGTGTTAAATTCAGCTGCGTGTAAAAATTAGGAGTCGACAACTTTTATTAAAATGTATATAAAAAGTGCCACAAGGAGTATTTAGAGGTGTCAAAAAAAGCATTAAAGAAATAAATATACAGTAGAGTTAAAGAAAAATGTTTCAAATTAAGTTGGAAATGAAATTATATTGTTTCTCCTTAGCTGACACATGTATATAGAATGTGTATTTATGTAATTAGCACATTTAGTGAGTGTTAAATATTACGTTAAAGAGACATGATAAAAGTGAATATGATAGAGAAGAGAAGAAGAAAAGAAATATGTAAATTATTGTAATATAGTATTGTGATATTTATAAGATGCCCAGAGTACAATTTAATCTGCGGATATTTTCATTGCTGTTAATAAAAAACCGCAATAATTTTATTTTAAAATGTTCAAGTAAAAGATACATATTAAGCATGTTAATCTTATCTAGTTAAATTTAAGAAGGACACTTTATTTTACAGATGTAAAAAAAACATATTTAAAAAGAAAAATGTATATTACGTGAACCGTTCAGAGAAACGGGGCATGAATAATTAACTATTTTAACTTTAAATGAAGAAGATCGTTAGCATTAGTAATTACTTAAAAAGAATCATCACATACTGTGAAATATTGTATAATACATGTTATATGTTAGCATAAAATGTAATTTCATATTATTAAATAATAAATGTGCAAGATAATCAAGAAATTTAAAAAAATATTAAACCACTTTATTATCTAGTATTTTATTTTTAACTCCCCTTTAATCTTGTTCAATTAATTTTTATGAGGTGTAATATTTTTAAACACTGCTAACATAAAGATTCATTTATTTATTTACTATGAAAAAAATTCAAATTAATTTAAGCAAGAAATGCATTACTTATTGAAGCACCAGTAAGTATACGGTAAAAATGAACCGTTGCTAATGGACACTCATGGTTAAATTTCATTTTTCAATCAAGTATTAAATTTGTGTATCTTCCGATTTCAGTTAATTTAAAACTCAATTGAAATAGGTTTCAATTCAATACTTGAATCAACTGACATTGTAAACACTATAATAACTCCTGATCCAATCGATAATTGACGTCAATGATCGAATATCGGATTTTTCCCGTGTTATGGAGATCATGCTATTAATAGAGGTGTGGCTGCTTGTACGCTTCTATTTCTCTCATACGTTGAGCTAAGCGGTGCAGAACGTTTCACATGTCCAGAGTGTGGGTGTTCACATGAACATCGGTCCATCGCTCACGTTTTACCTCAGTCTTGGATGCAGTGCTAATGGAGATGTTGTTACGAGATTTGTCTTTCAGTAAAAGATAAAAGTGACAAATATTTACACCGACGATAAAAATTAAGTAAGTACCAGGTTGACTTTGAGTCAACGAAATCTTTTTAGAAATTTAAATTGCAGCGGAAAAAAATCCCACAGAGTTTCCGTTAAAGCAGCAGAGCGAGACTACCGTTAATCTTTCATTACTTTAGTTCAGTTTTATATATTAAAAGTGTATTCTTGTTGTAGACTTTCTTTTCACCTACAACAATGTCTTCGTGTTTGATACAGAATAATTTGAAGGACGTAACATCTCAAACAATGAGTTTAAAATGGATTCAAGAGAATCTAGAGGCACCTACGTGTGACGAGGAATGTAGTGATATCGATGACAGTGGAACTGATAATAGTTACGATTCCGATCTATCTGAAACTAAAAACGATCATGAAGAGGTTGCTGATGGACGTCGAAAGAAACGTGAGACTACTAGACATTCAACCACAACGGTGACCTTTGATGAGAACGGGTTTGTATGTTGGTGTTCTATTCATAATCAACATAAATTTAACCATCTAGAAGCTTTAATATCTTCCTTAGCTACGTACGTACTGATTATGGAAAATAATTGACCTATTGACTGATTAATTCAGTCACGCGTAATTCAGTAATTACTGTATGATCATCAGTAATCGATCAAGGGAAACTCTTCAGCTTGTATATGATGTATGAGTTTCGCCAGAAACTGCAATTATCAATGCAGGAAATGTTTTTAATTTTAACAGTTTATGTAATAGAAAATGCAGTGGCCTTAATTTTCTAATTACATTATATTCTTTGGTGCAGTTCGCCTGTCTACACAACGAACGAGTTAAAAACAACATCATGTGAATTATGGGATCCTAGAAAAAGCATTCAAAACCCAGCATACCAATGTCGGTTAATCAAATTCCTCTGTCGAACTGGATATCATTTATCTATTTCTCCAGTTGGACGAGTACGTGGTCAAATCAATGTCAATGATCAAATAGGTAATAAAAATTTACATATGTTCAATGATAAATAGAAAGATTAATAATTAACTTTTCTGTAACAATAAAGATCTAATAGAATAAAAAAAATAATACAATTTCTTTTATAGCTCTTTTTAGGGTAATTCCAGTTTCTTACGGAGTAATTAAAATACAAAATCCAGAAACAGGGCATTACTTGGCGTTCAATAAAAAAGGTCATTTGTATGGAGAGGTAAAGTATAAAAAAAAAATATATCTAAAGCGAAAGTAAACATTGAACACGGTGCATCAATGTTTGTTCTAGTTGAAAGAGAGTAAGGACAATATAGAATGGGAGCAGTGGAGTATTGGATCATACGAGGCCTTTAGATCTAGAAAATATGCAGTGGAAGGATGGTGGATTGGAATTAAGAAGAATGGACGTCCTAAAGCTGGACCTAAAACAGCTTGGGGACAGAAGGCTATTCAGTTTTCAGTTGTAGGATTTGACACTGAATAGATTCATTTATCCGTTTTTAAAATATAAAAAGAATAATTATTGATGTAAGATTGTGAATGAAAAAAAAAAAAGATTTTAGAGCTTAGAATTTATTGTTAATCTGTTTTTTTTTTTCAACAGTAAAATTATTTTTTGGAGTTGTGCAGTCACTTTGTGCCCTTTAGCGCAATAAAAAATATTTAAAATTAACTTAAATCAATTATTGCGTTACATGTAAATTAAATATTAGCACATACTATTATAGACTTAAAGTATAGATATATTTTTTTTTAGTTATTAATTGTTACTTTTTTTCATATAACAATATTTTTTTTTTATTATATATACCGAGCGTTCTTTCTTCCATCCGTAAAATTTATATGTCAAGCACATTCAGATAATTTACTGTCTAACTTTAAATGATAAAATTAAAGGTAATGGAAATAAAGATCTTACTCATATAATTTTATTACATTTGATTCAATAATTTTATCTTCCAATAGATACGTATGTCAAGCTCTCAAGCACACATGGCAGTAAAAATGTCAGAAAATTGCAATTTAATCTTTGGTACACTGACAATAAGCATTAAAAAACTTTTTTCAATGTCATGAAGCCAAAAAAAACCTTCTTATATAAATGCCAAATGCTCGAGTGCTCCTTAATTAATGGGACCCTTCATAAGGCAGTTTGAATATCATTTAAATAGATTTTTTTCAGTCGATAATAAAATAAAAAATGATGTATTTATCACAATTATTATTTTTAATCCATTTTTATTAAAAAATAAAAATTAAGTATTTACGTTAAATAATTTATTATTGACTCTGCCCTATAAAGAGTTGAAAATGAATGTACCTATCTAGAAACATAACACTCATTAAGAATTAATTAGAAAAAAATTGGAAAATGTTTCAATTGATTTGTCAAGGTCATTACCGACTAGTGTCATCACTCAGCTTAATAGACGAGTCATTTTCATGCTATTTCTAGTTCTGAAATCATCGAATAAAATTACAGATCTTACTTCTTCTTTGTTTTTGGACTTGTTGATTGAAAAACACTTGATGCAGACATTAAATTTTCAATGTATTGCCCCAAAACTTGGTTTTCACTCCGCAGTTTTAAATTTTCTTCCTTCACACTATCAACTCGTTGTGATAAATCTAAAATAATTATTATCTAATAAATTCCTTTTGGTTGAATGATTATAGAAGAATCAATATAAAAAAATTGATTAACTTACCATCAAGGGTATTTTGTAGCTCAAGCACTTGAGCTATCAATCGAGCTTTTTCTTCTTGTTCATCGGGACTTACATCAGGATCTAAGCCTGTAAGAAACAGTGAATAAATGAAAATGAGGATAAATTATTAGATGGATATTTTAATAAAATAATTACTGTTTGGACTGCAGCTACCATTTGTAAATGTGGATGGAATGGAATCCATGCTATGTCCACGACCAAAAGGATCAGAAATGTGTACATCATTATCTGGAACGTCTTCTTCTGGGATAATAACTAAAAGAGAATTTTTCAATGATATTGAAAATAACTATGGACTCTTGTCTATGTTTCTATTTGAATTAATGACCCAAAAGTGGGTCATACAGGTGTATGAATAATTAACTTGAAAATAAATACCTTGAGGATCATCGTCAGCAAGAGGGATACTATTCATATCCTCCTGAAGCTTCGTGTTAGAAATCATTGACGTAGTCATCTTGATTATATCAATTAAAAATTTTTAAAAGAAGAAAGCTGCTTGTTGTGATAATATAATAAAAGTGTGCTAAATTAATCAATTATTATCTATTTACTTTTTTATAGTTTCAAAGTGTAAATACACTACACACATATACCGTTATTGTCAATAAAATGCAAGTAAAAGGATAATCAACAGACTCTTATTTGTTGTTTTAATACCTGATGTGATCAATAGATTTAGGTTTATTTGACATTTTTATTTTGACTCAATGTTTTCACAACGGTACCCACAAGTTATACAACATATACAGAAGCTCCGATTCTAAAATTCCAGGAATTATCCAGTATTTTGATACAAAAGTCAGCCATAAGTGGCGCTGTTTAAAATTTATTTACTCAATAAAATTCTGATAAATTCCTAACTTATCAGCTGTAAATATTTTCTTCAAAAATTGTAAACACCAAAATCGCTAGATGGCCTCAGTTAATAACGCACAGTTCCAATTTTGTTGGTTTAGCTGAATGATATTCATGTATCTTTGCCATTGTCGCAAATATTTTTTATTAAAGTACAAAAACGCGAAATTTTTAATTCAACAATAGCTGTGAATCATAATTCTGACGTTTACCGAAGGATTTCTAAATCGAGAACTTTTCAATATTAATATAATTTTGGAGGAAGTTGAGTAATTGCAGCTTCAACTTGTGATAATGTTCGAGAACACACCGTAAAAGTCATTGATCGTACAAACGTCGTATATTTTTTTGTGTCATTACAAGTGCCACATTTTGAAGGTTTTCATTATAGTTATAATAAAGACAGTTGTATACTTTCCATTAATTAATAGTGTATCTTATCGAAAGAAAATTAATTAAAGACTAGAAATAATGTGCAATGTATTTTAAGATGAATGAATGACTGCAACAATCAACAAATCATTACCAATAATCATATAGCTTGTAATGAGTTAATTATAAAGTAATTGTTGGAGGACGGTTATAATTGAAACCGATTCCTTCAGATTGTAAACGATGGCTGCTACATTCGATCAGTATGACAAATCAAGGTAATTATTCACTTAAGGGAAAGTTAAACAGCCATTATTGAGTTATAGTAAATCATATCAAATGATATCAAAGATAAAGGTTTAATGCTTTGAAATTTACAGTTGGTATTTTGGTGCAATGTCACGTCAAGATGCATCAGACTTGTTGATGGGTGAAAAAGAAGGTGGAGTGTTTTTGGTGAGAGATAGTACATCAATTCATGGTGATTTCGTTTTATGTGTACGAGAAGATAGCAAAGTCAGCCATTACATTATAAATAAGATTCAGCAAGAGAATCAAATACGTTATCGCATTGGCGATCAAGTATTCCCTGATATTCCAAATCTGTTGGCATTCTACAAATTGCATTATTTAGACACAACTCCCCTAATAAGGCCTGCACCTAAAAAACTTCAAAGGGTTATTGCTAAATATGATTTTGAAGGCAATGATCCTGATGATTTACCTTTTAGAAAAGGTAAAAATATAAATAATGGTTGAAAAACCTTTATAATAATAATAATATTTTTATCATTGATAATTTTTTCTAGGCGAGATTTTAACAGTTATTACAAAGGACGAAGAACAATGGTGGACCGCTAGAAATAGTGTTGGACAAAAAGGACTGATACCCGTGCCGTATGTACAGAAATATGAAGAAGAAAATCATGGTAGTACAGAAAATAATACATCTCATGCAGACTCAAACAGTGGAGGTAATTCAGCTTCAAATTCTCTTACGTCTCAATCGACAGCTCATGCTGCACTTCAGGAAACAACGCAACAAGTAACACGTCGTTCCAACATACAGCGAACATTACCAGCATTTGCTAAAGTTAAACAGGCACGTGTGCCAAATGCTTATGATAAGACCGCGTTGAAATTAGAGATTGGTGATATCATAAAAGTGACTAAAACAAATATAAATGGCCAATGGGAGGGTGAACTTCATGGGAAAGTAGGTCATTTTCCATTTACGCACGTGGAGTTTGTTGATAATGAAACAAGCGAGGAAAATCGAGAGGCCTAAGAGACAAAAAATGTTCTTCCATGCAAAAACATCTTCAGGTTGTTACCAATCAGAGAATGTGTATAAAATATATCATCTTATATTGCCATTAGCTATTGCATATACCAATTAAAGTACGATTTATTATATTGTCTTTATTTAATGATATATCTTGTGCATTTTACCACATGGATTCTATATATAATTGTACAGAAATTCCATGGCAGCAAATCGATATTTCTACAATTTACTTTATTGAGCAGGATATCGTTTTAAAACAGTCATAACTCATCTATTCGAGTAAATTAAATTCGATTTAATTCAAGAACAAAGTACGAGATATAAATTCGCTCGTTAACTTTATAAATATATAAAAATTCCTATCAATTTATACGCGATTGTTATCTTCGATTATTGGTTTTCAAAGTTTTTTGGCTTGTTACCTTTAATTGAGACATCCTGTATCAGAAATTATTAACAATTTCGTTTGCTCTTTATATTCTTATACTGCTTGACAAAAATCAAAATAATTCAAATGCAATTAATGCATAATAAAATATTTTATTAACCAAGTATTGATTTTTAAGTAATCTACAATTAATATTGAAAATATTAATCAAGTAAAAATTTACAAATTATTCTACTAACTCTTCTTCGATACTCAAAATCAATTGTCGGCTTTTGGATAAAAATTTATCAATTCACACTGTAGACAGTACTTTTTTTTTGTAGATATTGGACAGCTGTTAACTTCTAGTCACACGTCGTGAGCATACGATTATTAAGACAGGGTGTCTCAAAAAATAAAATACCATCAATGAGTAAAACGAAAAATATTCTTAACGAATTAAAAGCAAAATGGGTAGTCCAATAATATTGTAATATTCATTACCATGTATATCTTTTTTTTGGACGTATTTTATACATCCGTATGATGCAATTGCATTTCTTTTAAATAGATCAATATATTTTTCACTTAATTTTATGAATTTGTCTATGTTTATTAAGTCCTAATGAATGATAGAGTGACTGGAGCATGTTAATGTCCAACTAATAGTTTCAGATAATTTTTAATTCAGCTTGAGTTGGATAAATTATGAAGATCTGACGGTGACTCGAGTATCCTATAACAGAATTAATTGTTACGCCATTATAGATTCCACCGGTCGTAGACGACTTTCCCAGAAGCTTTCTATGAGCTTAATTGAGTGTGAATAATATTCAAATCTGTGAAATTTCATGTCGCTCTTCTTTGCACCTTTATCCCATTGTGAAAATTTCAAAAGTTTGCTTTCCACTTTTCTTTTTAATTCCTATCCATTATTATCTAGATACAAATGAAGAATCCTTCTTTTTTTCATTCCACTTCCTACCATTATAAATTTATTGTTTCATTAATAGCAATCACTGAAGCATACGCTGTATAAATCTCTTCACTCTCTCTTGTTGAGAAAATTTCATAGCAGAAAGCATCGTAACTTTATCGGCTACCTTTCTCACATTAATCATTTAATGTGACGTTCTAATTGAATTGCGTTGTTTAGTGAACCACGATTTTAGAGCTCATGCTACACTATCTTCACATATTTATCATTACTGCAACTTTGTCATTTTTTATATTTCCAGTGCGTTTATGAAGAATTCAGAAACTTGGGTGGAATGTGATTGTTTTCGTGGAATGTTTCGTTCATGAGATTGAGCAGAAGTTTGAAATAAGTTTAAGAAAAATTGTTAATTATTGAAATAAACTTGGAACAATTATCTAAGTGAAATAATTGCACGTTTTAAAAAATAATGGTGATATTTTAATAATAGAATAATTTTAGATAAAATACTTTGATAATAGTAATTCAATGTTTATTTCTACAAATAATTATTAAAGTTCTTTACTTCGTTTCAGGAAAGAATTTTAAAACTTGATTTTGTTTCTAACTGTCAATCAATTTTAAAATCAAAGTTTATGTTGTTTATTAATTAATATAACTGCAATAAGATATCAAAGGTGAACAATTAGTTGAACTATTGATCCATAATTGTAAGTCAGCTTGATCAAGTTCGTACAAATTTCTATTAAAGAAGTTATTCTTTATTAATAATAATTCCAAAAGTACTGAGTCATATGCTCAACATGGTATTAATTATAAAATAAATTAAAAAATAATTTTGCATTGTTTCTCTAAAAAAATGAATTTTCATTCTTATTTTTCCTCAAGTGCTAAAGCGTGTTAGGTTGTCCATAGGGCAATATTAATGACCTCTTATGAGTACGCTGATAATGAATCACTACTAGTGGGTAGAGGTTTGCTAGTGTCAAACACGAGTCTGATGAAAGGGGACCAATTCAGTAACGCACTGACTTTTATTTTTGTTTCTCTATTTTATCTTGTTACCTCATACTCTAGGGCTGGAATTATCTGGCATCGAGGACTACATGGGCGTGTGCACGGCTGGCTTTTGTTCATCTTTAATTGTACATTCTGCTCTCTAGTAGAGCCCAGTGATATTTTTTATTTCAAAGCCAATTGATTCAATGTCGCTGGCAGATGACAGTACATTTTTAGAAACCCTAAAAATATATTGTCAAAGGGTAAATACCCATGGTTGAAAGAAAATCTTATTGACAATCGATTATTGATTATCGAGTGTGATAATAAAACTTTATCATCGTTTGTAACATAAGTAATCCTATTTGTTATTAAAGGAGAAAAATTCAAGAATTTCATTTCAATCCTTTTTTTTGTCTTTCTTCCTCAACTTCTTTTTTTTTATTATTATTCCTATCTCTTAAAAGTATCATGAAAGATTGATGCAATTCTATCAGCACGACACCATGAATTAGACTGCCAATGAATTTGATGTGTTTTTATCACTATTGGACTCTATCGTGAGGGAGTAAAGCTGGAGAGGTGAAATCCACGAAGAAAAAAATCCCCAGTGGCCTGCAAAATGAAAAAAGTGATGAAGCAAAGGTGGGGAAATGCGCACTCGCGGGAATTTCCAGACGTCGCGTTTTAATGAGGTGAGACGTCGTCGCAAGTAAAGTACTATCTCAGAAAAGATTTAAAGTTTAGCCGTAGGACTGTTTTCGGACCTTACGATCGTACTAGAAACGTAAGAAGTAAATAATATGCAAATCCATGCTGACTCTTACGTTACCTTCTTATTCGATTTTTATCTGTCTTTTCTTTTTATCTAGCACTCTCTCCGTACCACCACCTGCTGTAAATACTCTTAGACGTTCTAATGCATGTTTTTCCAAGTATAAATTTATTTCCCTTTGAAAAAATCAAATAGGAGTAAAAAAATAATTTCTGTATAAATAAGACACGTCGTATGTATTTTGGTTGAAAATTTATTTCAATCTTCCATTTTTCAATATTTTGTCAGTGTAAAAGAGATCTCAAGAGACATACGTGGATATATGCGCTAGAGAATTCAAGTCTGAGTAAACTTTTGTAAGTTGGCAATACCTCGGTTTGTAAGAGAAAAGGGAATAAATATGAGAATATAAAAGTACAAACTACATACATATATATAGAAGAGGGGTTAGAGTAGTCGCGGATTGAAGACACGCGCTATGCAATATTTCCTTGTATAGGCCTGGTACGGAGGGTAGAACGTAGCTTTTCAACGATAGAAGACGTAAGGAGGGTGTTTTCGGCAGTCCCGAAGAATTTACAGGCATCTTGCTGATGGGGTTTCCTTGCTTTCTTCACCTAATATCTTTACAAGGCCTCTGAATCTTTTGCCCTCCCTTGCATCCCAGAGAAACGAATCGATGTATGTGAGATATATGCGAGGCTACGTGCGGATTACACAGACTTCGGAAGCCCAAGGATGAGGAAAAGAATACCCTTTTGGATACTTCGTAGGTATATGAGAAGACGATCTTTATTACAGCTTTTGGATAGAAATCGAGGAATACGATTTACACTGAAGGATAAAGTTTTCTCTATTCGCACTTGGTACACTCGTCGACACGTTGCTGAGACTTGATAAAAGCGCACTGAAAAATATTTCCCAAGGACCGTCGCGTTGATAAGCGCAACGACGACAGTCGTGGCTACGTGATTTGAAAAATAATAGACTCGTCCTTGCGCTTTGCATGCTTTCTCCTTTTGTATTTTTTTTTAGGTCTTTTGTTTTTAACTAAACGCCACGAGGGCAAATTTATCGTAGTATTTTTCCGTTGGAATGAAAATTACCGGAATTAACATGAGTATCTCGACGAATTTCTTTTATATTGTTGTTATTTATGCCGATGATGATGGTGCGATTAAAATTTGATCATTTTAAAATAATAAAAAGGAAAAGGAGAGACAGAAAAATCTTTCATTTTCATCAATATAATTATATTTTTGAAAAACACTCCTTCATCTATTTAATAAAAAAAAATGATTACATTATTGGAAAGTTATTAAAATTTAATATTTTATCTAAAAATACTTATCATCACTTCAATTAAATATAAGACATTTAATTTTTTTTTTTCTTCAATATAAAATAAAAACTCTTGCTTGTTGTTTATGTAAGCAAGTATTAAAACAATTTACTAAACATGTGTAATTCAAATGAAATTTGTAATTACTAATACGTGTCTTTTTGATATTATTCTCTTTAACACTCTTCTATATTGAGTTGTGAATTGTGTTAGTTATGTATTGCATCAAGGATGATGAGAAGTTAAATTGACACAAACAATTAAAAGTTAATATTATAACAGGTAGGAGGGTGAGCAATTATTGTAAAAGCTTACAACAATCAATCAACATGAGGAAAAAAACGATAATACATGATTAACGAGATAATATTTTGTTAGAGCCACGCCTCACTATTTCCCACGAAAAATGCACCCCTATACCAACTTGTTAATCATTCTTATGATGAAAAAATTTTTTAAATCAATATTAATATCATTTAATATAAAATAAAAAACCTTATGAGGTAAATCAATAAGTTAATCAAAGGAAACGTGACCTACAATTTTTTTTTCACGAAATAAAAATCTAAGAGAGGTATTGCACTAGTCAATTTTAATGTCTTTGAGTTTGTTTCATCTCTAGACTACTTTTTGTAATTTGAAGTCTCATTTGCAGAGTTGCATCTTGGTAGTGTATAATTTAATATAAAAAAAATTATTTATTTGA